CACCTACTGCAAGAAAAAAAAAAGTAGAGACCAATTGCTTTACTTTTCTTTTTTTTACCATCAAGCGGCAACTGACTTATGGCGACCCTGCAAGGTTTTCAAGGCAAGAGACATTCAGAGGAGGTTGGCCATTGCCTTGCCTCTGCATAGTGACCCTGGACTTCTTAGGTGGTCTCCCATCCAAGTACTTATCAGGGCTGACCCTGCTTGGCTTCCGAGATCGGATGAGATCGGGCTAGGCTGGCCTATCCAGGTCAGGGCCACCTGGCTTTTGGCCTTCCTATATCGCCAGGTACACTGGTCTGTCTTTTTGCACCCTGCTTCCCTTCCCCTTCCAGCACTGCTAAAGAGGGCTTGCTCTGTAATGAGCTGGTGTGAGGCGGGTTGCCAGAGGTGGCAGCTTTTGGGGGTGGCACTGGCGACTTCCCATCCCTCTATGGCCAGCCTATCAATCACCTACTAGCACCCCCCCCAGAGCTGAAGCAAATAATTCCCCCCCCCCCCCGACCCCTTAAAAAGTTGAAGCAAATAATTCTGCCCCCCCCCCCGGACTCTTTAGAGATACTACAGCAAACTGAGTATTCCTCCTTCTTGCAAGAGTTTGGCCAAAGTTTCTGATTACCTCTTGGCTGGGGCAACTAAAATGGCAGGCAAACTCCTGTGAGGGGAAGCAGTCTTGTGGGTACCTGGGAAGACTGATGGGGACTGTGCTGCTATTTCTAAGGAGTGCTGGGGCAATGAGGAGTCTCTCTTCTAGGGCAGCAGAGGCCAAGGGGAGGAAGGTGGAGATGGCTACCGCCGGGGCTATCCCTGACAGTGGAAGATTTTGCACGGCCACTGGCTGATGCCAATGCTGCCAGTTCTAACCAGAACACAGTGCAGCTGTGAATGCACTCGTTCGCGAAAGAAACGGACATCTGCACAACTCCATTAACACAGCGCTACCTTTCAGTGGTCAAAACCAGTGTTCCCTCTAAGCTGAGTTAGTGTGAGCTAGCCCACAGTTTTTTAGCCTCCGGCTCATGCATCTTTGCCTTAGCTCAGGAAGGATGGCTCCAGAGCAAACTAATTTATCCAGTAGCTAAATCACTCGCTCACAACTTTAATGCCAGTAGCTCACAAGGTAGAATTTTTGCTCACACAACTCCGCAGCTCATAGGGAGCATTGGTCAGAAGCAGCAGCAATGGGGGGCGTGGCGGGGGGGGGCAATGCTAGCGAAAGGAAGCAGAAGCCTTGGGATGGAAGAGTTGGAAGCTGGCAAGTGCTTCAGTTTTCAAGACCAAGTTAATCCCGCTTCAACTGTTTCTGGGAAAATAAGGAGGCTGTGGGCTGCGGAATTAACTCTGGAAGCTATTGGCAGGCAACCACAGTCTTCACTACAAGAAGGAATCGCTGTATGCACCAGATTCAAGGCTGCAGCACCCATCCTCCCTGGATGAAAGCAGAAATGAAAGCATCAGAACGGTTTCAGGTCTTACTGTTAGCGAGAATGTCATGCTCATCAAGCAACCACAGAATGGGAAGGGACTTCTGTGTCATCACTCTCAGCACTTGCCAAAAGGCAGCTATCCTTCAGAAAAGATCAAGCACGCTCGTTTCTTCATAGGAGCACTTTGGGAAATGTGGTTAGAAATGATCTGAAGTGGGCCCCCAATAGATAGCTTCTCTTACGGGCGGAATTTGCTTTCTAACCTGTTCCTTGAGGCATCCAGCAACGAGAATTCCATCACATCTCTGGCCGACCTGTTGCAATACTCACCTGCTCTAAGATGCACCCCAGCCTACGGGTTTTTAGTTGTTATTTGAACACACTGGTTTTTTTCTGGGTAAACAAAGAGCTGACTCCTCCCTCCACTGTACTTTAATAAGTAATACTACACTTAAAAAAAAATCATGATAAACTACATAACAATAAACAACAGACTACCTTAAGAAGCCTCTTTCCACATGTGCACCTGACCTCCCAAATCAACACGAAGCCCTGCTGTGCCCCTCTCTGCAACCTGAGTACTGGTGTGTTACGTGCGTGCTGTCAAGTCACAACCAACGTATGGTGACCCCCAACAAAGCACTTTCAAGGCAATTGAGAAGCAGAGGTGGTTTGCCATGGCCTTCCCCTGCAGAGTCTTCCTTGGTGGTAATGACCCTGCTTAGCTTCCAAGATCGGATGAGACCAGGCTGTACCACGCTGCCTTCCCTCCCATCAGTACGCTAGGACACAGCAGCTTATACCTCGACTCCCATGATAAAAGAAAACAAGGTCCTCATCCAGGTGCTGGCCAAACCCAGGGTGCTAAGAACCTTGTTGCTCTCCAGCCTTTCCTGGGAAATGCAACACTGCTCTGTTTCAAGCCCTTCGAAATGGGCAGCTGCGATGTTACCTTGATGTCTGCACTGTGCGCTTTGCGGAATTCACGCTCTCCTCGGGAGGGGTGCTTGGCCTCGCCCGTCTTCTCTGCAGAGCCTCGTAACTTCTGGCTGAAGCTGTGCTGGCAGGGACTGCTCCCCCCCTCGTCTTGACTGCTCTCCTCCTGCCAGTCGTGACTGCTGTCTCGTGGGCTGCGGCCACGGTCCCGAATTCTATCACCGTCCCACCGAACCCGGCTTCGTTCCGGCCCGCCCTTCCTTTTGTCCAGCCTCCTTAGCAGGCAGTCCTTCTCCGCCATCCAGGATTTCTCATTCGTCCGTGCCTCGAATTTCAGTTGGAGAAAATCTCGGGTGCTCTCATACAGCAAGTTTTGAGCTTTGTGGTATCTGAAAGGTGTGCGGGAGAGAGAAAGACGAATTACTGCTTTGCTCCCCAGTTCTTGCATTCCTTGCGCATCCTCTTTGCAAGACAAGAGTTGCACAGGTCAGAGTCTAAAGAAGGAAAAAGATGTATCCTGTTCCATGCAGGTCTTCTTGAAGGGTATGTCCACACTGGAACAGGAACGAAAGGGGGCCACCCTGGGGGATCGGAACACAGGAAGCTGCTGTGGTGAATTAAGCCACTGGTCCACCTAGTCCAGCATGGCCTGTTCCGCCTGGGAGTAATTATCCATGGTTCCTAGACAGAGGTCCTTTCCAAACTTGGTAACAGATATCCTCTGATTGGGGAGATGCGAGGGATTGAACCTCAGACGTTATGTATGCAAAGTGTGTGCTCTGTCATTGGGAGACGGCTGCTCCCCCAAATGAAGACATCTCAAAGGAATGGCTTTCAAAGCAAGCCGTGCCTGAGCAGGCGTTTGAACCCAAGACCATTGGACTGAGAGTCTACAGCAGGGGTGGCCAAACTTGCTTAACGTCAACAGCCACATGAATAAACGTCAGACGTTTGAGAGCTGCAACACATGAACAAATATCACACACACGTTTTTACTGAAAAATATGCAAATTTGCTTTTTATTAACATTAAATTGGACTGTGTGGAAGAGCTGCACGTGGCTCCCAAGCTGCAGTTTGGCCACCCCTGGTCTACAGACTACCTGGGTGACTGACATAGCATCACCTCTCTGAGTCAGTGGATTCAGAATGTAGACTACTAATGGTGTCTAATATGATAGGGGTACATGTCCTCCCTTTCCGTGGTTCCTGATTAAGGTAGATTTAAAGTGCTCTGCACTCTTGCTCTTCTACTGAAAAACAGCATGGCTACACCCCTGAAAAGGAGTTGCAGTGGCTCAAGTGGTTAAGACGCTGAACTGCAGGCTGTGGAAGGTCGGTAGTTCGAGACCCAAGTGTGCCGCATGATGGAGTGAGCTCCCGTCTCTAGTTCCAGCTCCTGCCAACCTAGCAGTTTGAAAGCAAGAAATTGCAAGTAGATAAATAGGTACCACTTTGGTGGGAAGGTAACAGCGTTCCGTGCGCCTTGGTGTTTAGTCATGCCGGCCACATGACCACGGAAACGTCTTCGGACAGCGCTGGCTCTTCGGCTTTGAAACGGAGATGAGCACCGCAACCCTAGAGTCGGATTCGACTGGCTTTCGAGCAAGGGAACCCTTACCTTTACCCCCCTGAAACGACCACCCTTGCCATGTTGCTCCTGTGACCATAAAAGACAAATATTCCCTCCTGTCTCCTTATTTCCCTCTAAGCCATTCAACACCAGTGAGAGGCACAGACGTCACCGTAAACATTGCTGACCAGCTCACCTCTCCAGGACAGTATCATTTATTTTTATATTCTGCCTCTCTGGGAGTGTCATCAGAAACAGACACAATTTCTCGCACCCACTTTTCAGTAAGGTCTTTGATCTTGTCCTGATCCCTCTGATGTTGAACTTGAGCTTCTTCTATGCGGATCCGCCGGTCTTCTAGCAATGCCTCAAGCTGCTCTTTGGCCAGCCGAGCCTGCTCTTCCAATTGAGCCTGAAGGGCTTCCACCTGGATTGGCACAGAAAACAGGCAGAGAATCAACGGTTACATCAGGCTGAACAATACCCCCTTACTTCCCTTACAGAATAAGTGTTGTACTTTTTTTGCAGGACTCCCAATTCTCTAATGGTTTGGCAGGCTGACAACATAATATCTGGCCAACTGTAGTCATTTGAGACCAATGCAGTTGAAAGATGCACATAAAATATGGCTGGAATTCCCCGTGCCCTGTTCTCTTGGAAGAATTTCTGCTTCTCCATGCTTTTTGATTTATCTTCAGCCTTCATGAAGGATTACTCTGTGAAATTCAAAGGTTTTCTACATTTTCAGTAATAGGAAGATGTCCGGTAAAAAAGCTGGTCATTCTTATGCCTGGATTCAATACAGAAGCAATTCTGAACACCGGGGTGGGGTGGGGGAGCTTATGTTGTTATCAGGACAGTCGAGTGTCACTGTATGAAGCGACTCCACTCATGACTGCCTCATTCGCTGAGGTCATCTTCAGATAAAAGTATCCCTGTCAATGAGCTCTCTGTGGACAGGTTCTTGAACTAATGCAATGATCGTGCTGCATCGGTCATATGACAAGCTGGCCATTTGACCAGATGATGGGCTTATAATTTGAATCAGTAGGTAATGGGTCATATGAATACCCCAGATTCTCTGGTTTGGGGGGGGGCAGGAATTCTCAGATTTGGTCACGATGACCCCTTCTAAGTAAACACTGAAATCGTCTGAAGCCAACAACAACAGGCCAATTCTTCTCCAGACTTTCTGGTCTCTCCCTTTCTTTGCTGCTGGCTACGAAGCAGAGGGCTGAGGAGGGAGAGCACAAATCACAGCCCAATTCCGTGACGCGGGCAGATGAAAAGAAAGCAAGTGGAAGCAGGGTAGCCGCTTATACGTTTACCAGCTAATTTCAAGACGCCCGGGGCAAGAAGCCGAGAACAAAAGCCTCATCCGCCATACAGGTTCCAGAAGGGTCGCCTAGCTTTGGTTGCCGCCGGAACAAAGGGAGCATTGTGGGGCTTCAAAGGACTAACAAATTTATTGTAACGTAAGCTTTTGAAAGCCGGAGCCCACTTTGTCAGATGCACAAAGTGTTACGCTCAGTTGGCACCGAGCTGATGCCTCCATATGTCTGTAAAGGAAGCCACAGGATCCCTGCTATGTACAGTGTTGCCTTGCTGGCTGACAGCGCCGGGGAAACACAAAGAAGCCATTCTCTAACTCCCTGAAAGGGATGGGTTAATAATATGTGTATTACTTATAACGTGCCTGGGCTACACTTCAGGCCCTCGTTGGGCGAGGCGGGCCTTAATCCAAGCTCCCTGCTCTTTTTGAACAGTGTGGGGTAGTCGCTGGAGGGATGGACTAGGATCCGGGAGACCCGGGTTCGATTCCCCACTCTGCCCTGGAAGCTCACCGAGCAACCTTGGGTCCGTCACGTACTCTCTGACCAACCCACCTCACAGGGTTGCTATGAGGAAAAAGTGGAGGAGGGGAAAATGATGTAAGCTGCCTCGGGTCCCCATTGGGGAGATAAATGAAATAGATTTTTTAAAAAAAAATTATCCCCCTTCCCCAGGTGTTTATATCTTCCAAAAAGAAGCCAGTGCCAAAGTACGCATCATCGTCCCAAGTATTAGCTTTTGGATTTCAATGTCCACAAAAGGCTAACTGAATTTTTAAAAAAAATTCTCCCCCTTCCCCAGGTGTTTCTATCTTCCAAAAAGAAGCCGGTGCCAAAGTACACATCATCATCCCAAGTATTAGCTTTTTTTGCATTACAGCTTCATAGATTTCAATGTCCACAAAAGGCTAACTGAACCACCAACCACCCCCACTGGCAAAGTGGACTGCGCGTGGAGAAGGAGCTCTGTTCTGAGGCCTCGCAAGCAACGGCAGAACTCCCAAGATGCACAAATCAACTCGAGGCCCCAGGGTACACCGCTACCTGTAATAGGAGTGTCTGGTTGTCTCTCTGGTATCTCTCTGCGCTTTCTGGTTTCCCTCCTTTTGCCGTCGTCTTTGAGGCAGAGCTTTTAACACCTAAAGCCGAAGTTTCCATTGAGTAAAAAAAAATGACCACATTCAGGTAAATTAAATTGAGACAGTGTTTCTATTAGGGAACAGTGGTCAAGAGAGAAAGGAGGAGCAGTCTGGCTGAGAGATTTCCACTGGAGGGAACACCCTAAGAAGCAGACATGTGGGATAAGCTCATACTCTTCTCACACACACCCCGAATATCCTGCTGTTCAGCAGCTCTCCTTTGCAGGAGGCGGGTTCTGTTACCTGTTTTTAGAGCGCTGTTCTCATTTCGTTCGTATGGATCTCTCCTCTTGGTTAGCCTCTGAGGAACAGTGACCTAAAAGAACCAAAAACATTCTCGTTAACTCGCTCCTCGTCGC